TGAAACGGCACGCGAGGACCTTGCGGTTGCAAGGTGACAGCTAGGACCGGAGAGGGGACGTGTGCGCCCCTAGTTGCCTCTGAGCCGCTGTGTGTCCCAGACGCCAGCAGGAGTGAGGGGAACGTGAACCGACCCTCCCCGGGCAGCCTTTGAGAATTAAAAAACCGTGCACCCAAAGCTCAGCCAACCGGCCCCTGGAGAAAGATTCTGCGTAAAGTTCAGAACTAGTCGGTTAACTGACCTGGATTTGGGGGCAGTGATTCCAGTCTTTGAGGGAACACATCGAAGGTCCTTGCTAATCACTGGACTTTGCACATGTAGCCCTCGGGATTGTGCTGAAAAAGGACATGGTTTGAAATGGCTTTACCAAATGTTTCCAGATCGTCAGGACAGGAGCCCAACAAGCAGTGGCTTTCCCTAGGTTTCAGGATGGGGGGAGGGTGTTGTGAATCCCTGGCCCACCACCATCAGCTCGCCGCTGGGCAGAAGGTCCTCAACTCCAGCTTACCTTTAGCAGGGTTTCCCCTCTATGGATAGAATTTCAGGGGGTCTGGAAATTTTGGTGGGGAAAAAAATTACATCTTTATTTTCACTAACCTGTAACTGAAACTTAGCATTTCCTAATATTAGAAAGGCAGACAGCCAAGCACAGCAGTATTAACCATACCTGTGTCTTTGTCACCAATAACCACCATGCACAGGTATTTTCGTATCATGAGAGTTGTTTCAGATATCTCAAAATATCTTTTTGGCTTGTCACTATTTTAAAATTGGAGTAGTTGCTAAGCCCTCTGCTAGTTATTTAATGAATTAATTAAAGAGGCATATATATTACTATGTTGCAAAGTTGTTTTTAAAAATATTTTGATAACTACATTTTAATGTAATGGCTTCCTTTATAACCTAGCATATTAAAAACATTCTTTTGAAGAAGGCTGCACACCTTCTTCAGGTTGAGAAAGGAGTCCAAGACCTGCACAAAACGTTTACAAATCCTTCTGAGGTAAGGAAAGGACCTCTTTAAAGCCACCTTCTTCCAGTGGCCCAGATGCTCTCCTGCTACATTTCAAAGGAGTATTTACAAACTTGTGAACATGCTGTTCCCTTCACTTGGTAACTCTGGGCTTCCTAAGCCAAACTCTGGTTACTTTGCTTGGAAGACTCACAAGGCAATAATTGAAAAATTGCTGGAAAAAGCTTCTGTTGGTGTGTAAAACAACCCCTTTGTAATTTTTAAAACCTTGCAGTGTCAAATTAGAGACCATCCTATTGAGAGCCTCTGAACTTAAGGCCTGTAGCTTTTGGAAAACTACAGAGAAACATTTTATTTATTTTGATAGTTAGCGCTCATTGCATTCAACTTCCCATTCCTGTAGCTCCCGTTTGTTCTCTGAAATAGTTTTCAAAAAGAGTGCTGGAGGTGAGATGATCAAGTCTCAGTCTCCGACTTGATGAATCTCTCCTTACAAATGATCCACACTGTGTTTTACTGCTCCCTCCCCCACCCTAACCCTACTTCCCTCCTTCTCTATGTGCCCCTCACTTCCCCTCCGCCCCCCCTCCATTTCGGCCACAGAATGCCTCTGACCTGTACCCGGCTGGGGGTAACCTCTGCTCATGGGTATTTTGTCTCTGCTGGGGCCATCCACAATCGAGGCCTGTGAAAAGGAGGGTGAGTCTGCAGGAGGCTGGGACAAGCTGGGCTATTCTTGATCTGTGCCCATTAAAGCCTTCTTGCCCTCCTTAACTCATTCCTGCTCCATTCAAGCCAGCCAGAGGGTCAGGCTTCAGCCGGCACTAAAACCTGTTGGGTACAGATTCTCTGACATTGTTGGGAAAGAATTAAGGCATCAGCCGGGGACGGCTAATATTTCTTGCCTCATTTTATTGCCGAACAGCGGGACTGTAAAGTCTTGAACACTGGAGCACTATGGCCCCCTTTCATGTAGCCGAGATGATGGGATAAAAATGTGTTTGGTGAAGCAATTCAGATTACCACCGGGTCACATCCTTGCTGGCTCCCAGCACAGCCTGCAAGCGGCATTGCTGAGAGGAGAAACAATCGCTGTGCAATCTCAGCTCATGCAGAACAGCTCCTGGACGTGAGGCTAATTGTGGAGCTGGCCAATGAGAATGTTCTGTTTTTAATAGCTGGGCTGTAGCTCAAAATAAAAGTTGAGATGGCAGACTGTGGATTCCAGTCCTGAGAGCTGTGATTCCTGACAGCTTTCTACTAAAATTATCTTAGTCCTGAGAGTATCAGAAACTAGTCTTGCCTGGGTTTTGAGGTCTTCAACTTGCCAATTGCAGTGGAGAGTGCTCCCTCCAGGGAGGGGAGAGGTTTTGGGGAGCCCTCAGTTTTCTAGGCCTCTCTGCCACACACTCTGGGATAGCAGGGGTTCCTTAAGCTCAGAAAACCCAGAGGAAGTACTGAAGAGCTCGTTAGTTATGAAGCTCTGTGCCTCAGTGAAGGTGAACTCTGGACAGTTCTGAGAGGCACACTCATTCGCTTTCATCCAGAGCCTTTCCCCAAGTAACACCTGAAATGTTCCTGAATAATTGTTTCATGGACTGTCCAGCTAATTTGTGGGAGAGTCACTTTGTGGCTCTGATTAGCTCTGTCACCTTGGGTTAGTCCCATTGCCTCTTTGGAGCCCCAGTAGCCTCTTGTTTAAATGAAAAGGCTGACCTCCAGGCTCTGTTTCAGCTCCCACACTCTAGGCCTATGTCTTTGGCCTCATGTCACCCTGTTCTTGAAGTGAGAGGGTCTACATGATCCTTTGAGCAAGTTGGGACTAGGTTTGTGTCCCTCGTTCCACCTGCACACCTAGCTGTGTGGCCTCAAGCAAGGTATCTGCCTTCTCTGGACCTCATTTTCTCCTATCCTAAAATGGGTACACGAGCACCACATTATGAGGCTCACTGACAAGGTTTTAACAAGAGATGGAACTAAATAGCACTGATCCTTGTTTTAGCTTATTTAAAGTGAACCTGGCTTCTAGGAGATCTGATGAGAAGCTCAGCCTGGCCACCCCTTGCTCTGCAGATGAAATGCATTTCTCAACACGCAGTGCCAAGAGCTGGGGGGAGGGGGTAGGAAAGAGAAAGCTCCCAGATTAGGAAGCCATAGGCCTCTCCCAACGAAACTTAATTATGAGGATCTGAAGGTCCCTGTCTGTTAGGAGGAGGATCTGTATAGCTCTTCATCTAGTTTTCCAGAGCTCATGGCCCTTAGGACAAAAGAAATGCCAGAGAGTCCCTGTTCCCATCTGGGGCGTGGGCTGTGAAAAAGCGGCTACAGAGTTTGCTGGGGCGCTAGAGACAGAATCCCAGGGCCTCCTCCCAGGCCTCTGGACCCAAGTGTAATAAATCTGTGAAATAACAAGCACAAAGGGCTTTATAATCAATGACAGATTTTATTTTTGCTCTGGCAACCTCCATCCGTAGAGTTACCGTTTTATAGGGAAATAACTACCCACTTGTGTCTCCTTCTCAGCCCATATTCCCTTTCTTCAAGTTGGGAAAATGTCGAGAATCACAGTCAGCTCCCGGGAGAGCTGTGGCAGGAGAAAGCGTGACTCCCCTGGGCGGGAACCCAACTCTCCCGCTACTTCCTAGGGTGGCTTGAGCCATTCATTTCTTTTTTGCTAAAATACCCGGGACATGTGAATAAACCAGGATTACAGAACATTGTCTCAGTCAGTAATCTGAGCCAGCGTGGGCTCTGGTTTGATGAAATATGGTGCTCTCTGAGCAAACATGGGAATTGGTATTGCTTCTCGTTAAAGCTGAACAGTGGGACTATTTAGAACTGATGCATGAATGCTGCACTGTGGGGAGTGACCATTTGAAGGGAGCCGATTCGAGGGAGGGGGACAGTGGTGTGTGTGAGTTGGCCAGAGCAAGCCAGTTAGGAGACCTCTGAGTCTGCGGGGGAGGCAGTCGAAGGCACACTTTAGGAACTGGGACCCTTAGGGGCTGCACAGTCTCCTT